TCGAATCTCTTCACCCAACACTTCCACTCGAAATGGAAGTAAGCTCAACAATTATGAAACAAGATATTCCGCGAAACCCAACTTTTTTTCCCTAATTATTGTTTTACATGGGGTTTCATTTTCTAATGTTTCTGACAGTTTCTCTGCGCAATCATTCATATCTACACCTACTAATGCTCCTTCCTTGTCTGTCATTGATGCTAATTATTAATAGCTTTAAGCTTCCTTATTTTAAGAATAACTGTCCTATTCTTATATGGTCTTTCTGCATGATGGACAAATTGTATTTCTATCTCACTGCTGGTATCTTCTGGGAAAGAATCTGTTAAATTAATAAACTCTACCAACATTTCATCTTTAAAATCCCTACACTTTGGAAAGGCAATGTTTAAACCCTTCGCTAAGACCTCTTTAATAGAACGGACGAAAGTTAAGCACCTTTTCACCGGAATCGGGCAAGATTGCCTCGGAAACAGGGTCAGCAAGAATGTTGCACTAAAGCCAATCGACAGCAGGTCAAGAGGAATCCGCTGTCGTCTTCTGGTGCAACCGACCTTCGAATCTCTTCACCGCACACTTTCACTCGAAACGGAAGAAAGCTCAACAATATCCAACTTACTCTGAGTGTATATCGACTGAAATGTCTTCAGGATGGTGGACAAGACGTATTTGTTCACGTGTCAATTCAATGAAAAAGTTCAATTCTACTCCACTTTCGGTTCAATCCGACAATATCCAACCATTTGCACGCCACTCTGGTGCTGCTGGGACGAGTACAGCACGAAGGCACTGATTGCTGGGACGACAGAGCAGCTGCCCGACCGGTTGTCAGATGTTCACGCTGGCGTTCAGATGCTGATGATCATGCAGACTGTGTTTGGCGTCCGTGTCCAGCCGAGCCTTGATAGCGACCCTGTTGCCGAGGAGGCGAAGTGAAGGTTTGCGTTTGTATCGCATTTGCCCTTATTTTGGCCGACATTCCAAAAACGCGGTTGTCATCTTCATCCGTCTGACTGCTGCAGCCTCTACCTCGTCTCACCGTCTGCACCAGTCCTCCAAGCGGGACTCGAACGATGGATGTCTATTTGCCCCTTAACTCGCACCTTCACAGTTGGGCGCATCGGCTGTGCCAGCTGGCGCGAAGAGGAGGAGGCAAGGT